AGCAGAAGCCAACATCAGCGACATCGGGAACTTTGCAAAGAGCTGGAAGTGCTTTAACGCAAAGAAAGAATGAGAGGAAGGTTTGGTAAAACAATACAGGGGTATCGCAATGGGCCCAAGGTCTCCGAGTGAGGGATCAAATATGATCCCAAACCCCAGCAACCTAACCTAACCTAACCTTGTTAATATTTCTGCTGTATTTTCTTTTTAGACAGTATGTGAAAATCTTTATCAATAAAAAAATTACCTACACGATTACTGAAAATAGCTATGCTCTAATAGTAAATGGATGGATTGTTTACAATTTTTGAATGGAAAAAACAACCTTATCGAATTTTTCTTTTGTAAACATATTGAAAAATATCCGATCTTGAAAATAAAAAAAAGTTTCAATATCTAAAGTGGTTCTTGAGTTATGGCCTGTTATGTGTTAAAAAGTTGAGTTTTAAATTATGGCGATTACTGACGTTTTCTCTTTATAAAAAAGTGACACCCTAACGATATCCTTATCATTCCATTTCAGATGCTCAGAAACATGTTTAATGATTTTATCTAGTTATCTCTTGAAAAAAAAGTCTTTTAAAAATAAGCGGTTTGCGATCGTGATTTTACTTTACTTGATAGGGAAAGGCTTATCGGCAACGCCGCAACAGAACGGCGGTCGCATTTCTCTCACTCCGACTTAATAAGATCCCTATGCGATTTACTTCCACACTTGTTATTGCCGACCCAAAAGTAACAGTTGCCAGCACGGTATACAAAATATCATGTGAATATGATAAATTTTATATTGGTGAAACACACTTTGTATTTTTAGGATTATCACAAATCATTCCCCAGCTGTCTTTCACGCCTTTTTTTTTGATCGTATATTAAACAAATATTAAAAAAAGTTCAATAGACACACTGGGTTTTACTCTAATCAAATCACTTTGTATTTTATAGGATCGCCACAAATCAAAAACCCTGATGCAATACAGAACAGAATTTAACATCCCCATCGACTTCAAAAGCGACTACATGGGACCTTACACCTCATCTCTTTCTTCAACGGTCAAAGCTATTTTTACTACAAGCACCAAGTGGACGCCTCCAAAAAGAGAATCTACTGGACGTTCCAGTATATCGGGTTCCAGAACATGGCCAAACACTATTTTTACGAGTTTGAAGTGTCAAACGGACCTGTCAGGAAGTTCAAAGTCACCGAGTTATGTCACAACGACACCGTCGATGTTAAGGATATATTCGGCATAGAGAATTGCGTAGTGATGTCGTTTAAAGCGGCTAAAAACTTTTTGAATGAGGAAAAAGAACTTTGCTGTAAGTTTAGGCTATCCAAAATTAAGAATACACCGTCTTAAGTTAATATGTTTTTTTTTCATGTAAATTTGATATTTTTTATAATTTTTAAGTATATATGTCTAAAAATGTATAGTTAAAAGTGATTTTATGTTTGTGCTTTTCATGTAGCTACGAGAAAAACAAAATTTCACTCCATATGTCTGTACAAGATGTCTCAAATAAATGCTTGAAATAATAAACATATTTTCTATTTGCCAATTAAAAAAAATTAAAATGTTAAACGTTAATTAAAAAGTTATTTAACTTGTTTTCAAGTGCAGTTCTAGACTTATTAATAATGTACACTAAAATACCGTATGATCGAAAAAAAACCGGCGTCCGGTTAGCTGGGAAATTAAAATTTTTGTGAACTGTGTTGTTGACTTTCGAAAAATCCGTTTGCCAAAAATAAGCTTTTTACGTCAAGCAGTTTAAGCAGAATCGTGGTTAAGAAATTACCCAACTTTTTGGAACACCCTGTATGATTTTTTAAAAAATTTCAAAATATTAAAAAACAAATAAATTATGCTTTGTGCAAAGCGTTTTTTCCTGAAAGACTAACCGTTTTTTAAATAACAAATATTGTAATATTTGAGGGGTGTTTTCACCTCCTTATCGAACCTCGACACCCCACAGTCAATCCGTTTGCCAAAAATCAGCTTTAAACGTCAAGCCGTTTAAGCAGAATCGTGATTACTCAAGGGTCATATTTTATGAAACACCCTGTATAAATTTATAAAAAATCTTAAAATATGTAAAACAACAAAATAAAATATACGTGTTTAAGAGTTTTTCCGAAGAACTCACCGGTTTTAAATAAAAAATATTTTTATATTTGAGGATAGTTTCACCCCCTTAGAATTCGAGTTTCGAAAAATCCCTTCTTATCGAACCTCTACACTCCTAAAGTCAATCTGTTTTCCAAAAATCAGCTTTTTACGTCAAGCGCTTTAACAGGATCGTGATTAATCAATGACCAGAATTTTTCAGAAACACCCTGTATACATTTTTAAAAAATTTAAAATATGTAAAAAAAACAAAATAAAATATACGTGTTTAAGCGTTTTTTCGGAAACTTGACCATTTTTTAAATAAAAAATATTGTAATATTTGAGGGGTGGTTTCACCCTCTTGGAAATGGAATTTCGAAAAATCCCTTCTTATCGAACCTCTTAATGCACCTTTAAACTCTGTCTCAAATAGTTTCTGAAAAATAAAATTATTTTTTTTTAAAAAGGTCCGATTAAATTAATATCTCCGAAACTAAAGTTCCAAGAAATGTAATATATCTACAAATTCATTTACCCACTAGTAGATATAAAAAGCATTTTTGGTAAACTCTGTCTGAAATAGTTTCTGAAAAATAATATTATTTTTTAAAAGGTCCGATTAAATTTTATATTCCGAAACTAAAGTTCCCAAAAAATTCTGTAATATATCTAGAAATTCATTTTACCCACTAGTAGTTATAAAAAGCATTTTTGGTAAACTAATAGTTTCTGAAAAAATAATATTATTTTTTTAAAAGGTCCGATTAAATTTATATCTCTCGAAACTAAAGTTCAAAAATTCGTAATATATCTAGAAAATCATTTACCCACTAGTAGTTATAAAAGCATTTTGGTAAACTCTGTCTCAAATAGTTTCTGAAAAATAAAATTATTTTTTTTAAAAAGGTCCGATTAAATTAATATCTCCGAAACTAAAAGTTCCAAGAAAATCGTAATATATCTACAAATTCATTTACCCACTAGTAGATATGCATAAAAAGCATTTTTTGGTAAACTGAATGTCTCAAATAGTTTCTGAAAAATAAAATTATTTTTTTAAAAAGGTCCGATTAAATTTATATCTCCGAAAGTAACGTTCAAAAAAATTCGTAATATATCTAGAAATTCATTTACCCACTAGTAGTTATAAAAAGCATTTTTGGTAAACTCTGTCTCAAATAGTTTCTGAAAAATAAAATTAATTTTCTTAAAAAGGTCCGATTAAATTTATATCTCCGAAACTAAAGTTCCAAGAAATGTCGTAATATATCTACAAATTCATTTACCCACTAGTAGATATAAAAAGCATTTTTGGTAAACTCTGTCTCAAATAGTTTCTGAAAAATAAAATTAATTTTCTTAAAAAGGTCCGATTAAATTTATATCTCCGAAACTAAA